TTCTTGTCGTGGGAAAAGTAATAAAGCTTAAAATGATATTTCCCTATGAGTAGAAGCATTCATAATTCTTTGTTTTCTGCATTTGTTTTGAGAGACGTAGTCTCAGACATTTCTATGGTGGTTTTAAATGGAACAGCTGCAGGCTAAGTTGGAGACTGGATGAAGTTCCTGTTGTTTTGTCTGTATTGTTTTTACACACATTATAGAGATGTTTTACTTGTTCCAAAATAAGATTAATTGCAGAACAGTTTGGAGCTCTACGAATGAGCTGTAGAGGTGGCGTGAATAAAAATATTAAGAAACATAAATTCTGACTTCTTTAAATTGCAAGTTGCACTTGCGTAATCATTTTACCCTTGGCATAGCTTTGAAATGAATCATCACCAGCTTATCTGTAAGAGAGCACTGTGACCCAAAGCTTTTAAAAGGTCCAATATTAAGAGATCTAAGATCAAAAGATTATTGAAATGTCAAAGCTATTTCAGGAGTGTCTGAAACACCAGCTAGCACCTTGTTGCCCCTCCATCACCTGCTGCTATCTCCAAACTTAGTCTAAACAGAAACACTAGAAGTGCTTGATTAGCTTATTTGACCTTTCTTTGTAGATTTTCATCTTAGTTTTGTAATTATGTAAAAACATTTAAACAATAATAAAAGCCACGCAATGCCTTTTTGGTCACATTTATTGTTGGTAGTTTTGTCTTTTCTGTGTCTGACCAATAAATCTTTGCTTTTACTTTACAATAAAAAGTTGACAGACCGTTACCAAAACTGACATGCTCAACATGACATTCCATTTCAGCCAGATAGACGATTGTTCTTTTTTGAATCGGACAAAAGTTGATCATGTTGTATATTCTATGTTTTAATGCACTACCATGAGTATTTTGAAAATCAGAAACATCCACAAGATCAACAGGATGGGTATTTTTATTGTTGTTTTTCAGTTGATAATGACTACAAACAGCTATGTGAACTACCAGGCTAACAAAAGTTTAGTTTCCTCTTTCATATCTAATCTTTAGAATAGCAGAATCATAAAAATTCACACTGTGAAACTATGATGACGTGAGTGTGAATTGTCCTTAATGTTCAGATGCAGCCTTGCTGTCAGTGCTTGAGTAATGACCTCACTCATATGGATTCCAGAGTGGCCCTTTCATACCCCGTTGGACACACTTCCACACACAAAACACACTTACCCCCTTCTCCCCCACCTAGCCAGAGATTAGCAAACCTCACTAACAAGTATGAAGTGTGTACACATAATAAAATGTTTTACTCTATCTAATAACACTGATTCTCTCACTTCTACAAAATTCCGTCTTTCATTTCCACAAAAATATGTCTGAAATTTTTATGTTTTAAAACATGTACATGTACACACCCAGGTTGGACAAAGTTGGAGAAACCAAAATCCCCTTTCTTTCTTGGCCCCTGTCTTGCACAATCACTCTCTCTTTTACAAGACACACTCCCCAGCTGTTGAACACAAACACAATGACATGATCTGCTTTTGCAGGCTCCAAGAGGCTGATGAAATTGTTGGGAATGTGCACCAAAAGGACACTGACACTTCATCCAATTCGTACTACTGGCTTTCGACCTATATAAAGTGTCTAATACCGCCTTGAGTCCTCCCAGATGTTTAGTGGGAGGAGCCACACAAGACCAGCAGAATAGATTAGCTTTGATTTGCTCTGGTAATTGTCACTGAGCCTCCCTTGTTCTGGATTTATAGCGCTTTGGGGTTGCTGATATTCAGATGCTGCTTGTGCTGTCTTCTAATTGCTGATGCTGCTTCATCAAGATGTAACAGCTGTTTGAAAACCTCAGACTTACTTGCAGGTTAAGAAATGCCTTGTATAGTAAATGATTTAATAAAGATTACTACAGTCTCTACAAAGAAACAAAATTAAAGAACATAGATGGGGAAAAAGATTAATTTATATATTGTGAGTCATATTTGGAGAAATTCAAAGGTTGAAAATTGTTGAAATTAAATTTTATTTGCAGCAGCTTCAACTTTATTTGTATTTTTGTTCATCTCTGTTTACATACACAATTAATATGTAGAGAAAGTGAATATTGAAACTATGGAGCTTGTTCCCTGTGCATGTGGAAAAAAATCTGCTGTATTAGCAAGTACTAACCTGAGTAAAGACAGAAGCTGATTGTTCCCTTGAGCTGTTTCCAGGAAGTCTGGCAGCTCTGAATATTCAAATTCTTTTTAGCAAGGGTAAAAATAAGTTTAAAGTGTGTACATTTATTCATCACTAAATGAAGTGACAACCTACATCCGGGTAATTTAACCTCAGTAGAGCGCAGCATGAACACAACTTCCTGAATAGTTAAAGACAAGCTATTTAAAGAGGCACTCAAGAGGCCATTTGTTTCTCTAGAGAAGTTGTGAAAACAGTGATAGAATCTGTCAACATAAGTATTCACTCTACAAATTTGACATTTTGAAAGAATGGCACATCACTGTTGAAAAAAATAATGTAATATAAATAAATAATATAGAATAAATATGTGTTTATTTTGCAATAAGATCATTTAAAATGGTAAAAAAATGAATAAAATAAAATCCAATCAAGTATAAAACCAATACCATACTGTGAATGTTCCTCTCTTGCCTTGTGATCTATGGAGATAGCAATTACAGATGACTGATGGGTGGAATTCCAACATGTTTGCATATAACTGACTGTACCACATGGATTATATAGTATTATGCTGACGTCCTAATCAAATGCATCTGCAGATGTTTCATATAAGCCAGTGCCAGGAATATGAGAAATGAACTGCATCTGCAAAGCCCTGATTGGACTTTTTTGGACTTCCTTCATACTGCCATTGGGGCACTTCAGTGCCAAGACACTTGTTCCAGATCAGCAGAATAAGCATTTTTTTTTTACACAATGTCAATATGCTAAGGAAGTGTATGGCTCATGCAGTGCAGATTTCAACTGAGAAGCTTCAAACTGTATCAGATTTTGTTTATGCAGCACTGGCCCCTGAAGAAGAGGTCATGACCTCTATTGTAGGTTAAAGTCACTCTTCTGAACTATGTGACAAAACATTTCCAACAAATGACATTTGCACCCAAGGTTAAGGATGATTATTGGCACACTTCAGCCTGTGTTCTCTGTTTGTGTAATGCTAACATGTTTTCGTTTTATAACAGCGAGCAATGCAGCCTTTATAGATTTTCATATTCACCAAAAGGAAACTCCTGTTTAAACACAAACACTAGCCTTTGACCAAAAACCTTTAAATCTAATCTTCTAATCTTGCCTTTCTATTCCCCTTCATTTTTCACAGAGCTGTCCTCGCAGCACACGCTTTGCCTGTCAAATTTACACACAAACAAACCAACCCTCTTCCAGCCCTGAGTTCCTGGTTCCGGTCTGGGGTGTGTGAGAGAGCAGCCTACGTCTGTGTAGGACTGGAGCTTATTACACTGGCACACACACACACACACATCTGCGTCCCGTGTTTGTTTGCGTGAGTGAGCTGACAAAAGCAGTAGGCTCCTGGTCCTGTTTAGCTTCCTTGGGATCCTGAGAAGCATCTTGCAAGGATAGACACCGACAGTCTTCGACTTGATGAGAAAAACAGTTCTAGCTCAATTTTACACCAAAGTTTATTGACACAGCTCAAACACATACACACATAGCCACAAGTTTATGGCTTGTCACACATAGTGGGGATGCATGCAAGCACAAAAACACACCAGTCTTGTGCAGCGTTGCTGTAAAGTTTGACTTGCAGACTGCAGCCGTTTTATCTTCGACAATCATTTCAGACGCCTTGCTCTTATAAAGCTACTGCTTCTGACTTAATGGTAGCTGTTTTCCATATGTGAAGCAGTCAGGGTACCACAAGCACACATTCGCTCACATTAACAGCAAGCAAATAAACTGAGTGTAATGCCAGAAGGAGTTTTTTCTTTTCTTCTTTTTTTCCACTTAAGGTCTGATTTACCAATATATACATAAAACTGTATCTAATGAAGAAGGAGTGTCCTTTCCTGAATGAGAAAATCATAGTTTAAGAAAGGTCACTCAGTGGAAAACAGATATTTTGACAGCTTTTACCCGATTTTAAATATTTAGCCTGGATGCATTTTTTAACCATATGATAAACATGGACTGAAATTAATGGGGAAAAAAGGAGATTCACAATATTATTCAGGTAAATTTGTATCAGACTAGTACAGACTCAGAAATTGAGATGCTTAATTGCTCTGTCACTAATAGTATAATGGTTTCTAGTATTATATACATAGCCCTGCTCAAACTAATCATTATCATCAATGTATGAGACTAACTACTCTAGATTTACACTGAATCAAGATGCGTCACTCAACTATTTTTCCGAGTTGCCAAAAATCTGTAATGAACTTAGCCCACCTGTCATTTGTCATTATCTAAATACTAGTCTGAATTAGGATAATGGCCATTTGTTTAATCGAAATTGAAATCCATCCATCGATTCATTGTCATCCATTTATCTGGGGTTGTAGCCTAAGCAGGGAGACCCAGACTTCCCAGTTTCCAATGTGTCCCCTGGCCAGCCAAGAAACACTGTGTGTTCTGGGTCTTCCTTAAGGTCTCCTCCTGGTGGGACATCCTGGAGGACTCTTAACCAGATGCCCAAGCCAATATTGAATCAAAAGATTTTACTATGTAAATGGCCTGGGATTTTAATCCCAATCAAATAATCATAAATGTCCTTTTTTTATATATATAAGTCAGGTTCTATGGAGGTGATATCAGCAGTTGAAATACTTGCATTAGCTGTATCATCCAAAATCAACTTACTTGATGAAGATATGTGTTTATTGCCAAGTAAAATGCAAAAAGATATTCTGCTTTATACTAAAGTGAATGAAAACTTTTCTCTTTTTGTAGATCCCAAATGTTGGAATATAAAAGCATTACCTGTTTTAATCAAATGTCAATGAACCTCAAATTTCTTTTTTTTTAATCTTTCAGCAACGATCACCACCATCATGGATGAAGAGCAGTGCTACTACAACGAGACCATTGCCTTCTTCTACAACCGCAGTGAAAAGCACCTGGCTACCACCTGGAACACCGTGAGCAGGCTGATGGGTCTGGGCATCACTGTGTGCATCTTCATCATGCTCGCCAACCTTCTGGTAATGGTCGCCATCTACATCAACAGGAGATTCCACTTCCCAATCTACTACCTGATGGCCAACCTGGCGGCTGCTGACTTTTTTGCTGGACTGGCCTACTTGTACTTAATGTTCAACACAGGACCAAACACAAGGTGGCTGAGTGTTTCAACATGGCTGTTGCGTCAAGGCTTGATCGATACCAGTCTTACAGCTTCGGTGGCCAACCTGCTTGCCATCGCCATAGAGCGTCACATCACTGTCTTCCGCATGCAGCTACATACGCGTATGAGCAACCGACGTGTAGTGGTGGTGATCGTTATAATCTGGACTATGTCCATAGTGATGGGGGCAATCCCCAGTTTGGGCTGGAACTGTATCTGCGCCCTGCAAAGTTGCTCCAGTATGGCACCGCTTTACAGCAACTCCTACTTGATCTTCTGGGCAGTGTTTAACCTGGTGACGTTTGTTGATGGTGACTCTTTATGCCCACATTTTTGTCTATGTGCGACAGAGAACCATGAGGATGTCGCGGCACAGCTCTGGCCCACGACGCAACCGAGACACAATGATGTCTCTGCTCAAAACTGTGGTCATTGTGTTGGGTAAGAATTATCTCTGTTTTCTTTCCTGTTTCTCTTCATCTACCCATATTGCCTTCCGAGAATATTTATGCTTCCTAAGCTGTGTTACCTTATCACATGTTATACCACTATGAGCACTAACTAAGTTTGCTTCCAATTTTTTGACTTTCTTGCTGTACTGGCATAAGAATATTGAGAGAACTTTTAAAATGTCTCAAAAATAAGAAAAAGAAAACCATTCATATTAGTCATATTTTCATCTACTGCTTTGAAACAAAGGTGAGCTCTATTCAATAACTTTGAAAGCATTTGTTTTAAATGGTTTTGATGGAAAAGATACACATAAGGTTTGAATGCATTTCTTAAATTTGTGTTGAAACAGAAAATAATTTAAAATTTAAAATCGAGCAACATTTTCACAATTATGGAAAACTTTGTGTTAGTCTCTTCCATAAACACTTAGTAAAATATACTTAAATGTGTGTTTGCAATTAAAATCTCAAAAGGTCTAAATGTCATAACCTTTTCAAGCCGGTTGAAATACTTGCATTAGATATATCATCTAATGCAAGTACTGTGTATTTTAATGGTGTAGCTTAATTTCTATTTTTTATTTTTTTTGGGGGGGGGGGTTGAAGAAAAGATCATTTTAAGACCTCCATCCTTTAATGAAACATTATTCTGTCCCTGCTCAAAATATGTTTATGAAGCTGATTACATAGAATGTCAGAAAACATTTTCATCCAACATTGAGACGTCAAATGTAGTCCACAATTAAGGCCCTCAATCCATTTCAGATTGCGGTAATGTTTCACTCTGGAGTCATAACAATAATGAGAGTCCATACTCCATTTTCTGTTGATTCCCAGTGATGTTGAAAGCTCTATATTTATCTGTTAATGTTCATTTAGCGGTAAATGTCTGCATCTCTGTTTAGTTAGAAATTTTGTTTATCATTCTATCACTGAGCGCAACTACTGTCATCAGTCATCAGTTTCACCAAAACAATGAAAGTGTTGAGTGGTTCATCTGCAAAGCTTCAGCATTCAGACCAAACACAGTGTCTGCCTAGTACGAATGCTGGCGTCGCATACAGTGGTCTCATTCTGTGCTGTCTTTTCTCAAATATGTCACAGTGTTGGGATTCAGCACAAGCAGTTAACAATGAATGTGTTCTCGATGTGCTGGAGTTTCTATAAGAACACTTTTTCATTGCGATTTATCAGTGCAAGTCCAGTTGCAGTCTCAAGAAAAGTATTTTAGACACCTGTGAAGTGGGACAGATCCATGGTTGAGACGTCTTTTATCCAAAATGTTAAGTGTTTGAGTCCAAAACTTGTCAAATAATTCGTTCCGCCTGTGACATGTGAAGCCATGTATCAAGTTGGCAATCCCAATGTACAGATTTTTTTGGTGTTAGGAAAAGGCGCAACTAGAAAACATAATTTACATTAACAGTCCTTTCTTGGTATTTTGGTCAATAGAATTTGCATCAGTTACAAAAACACATTAAAACATGCACAAATTCTCATCATAACGCACACACAAAAATAAACCAAAGACAAAAGATGAAAAACCTTTCTTTCCCCATTTTAACAGCGTACCGACCAAACAGAACAGCAAAATAAAACCAACTGTTCAGGGCCGTATTGTACAGAACTCCCCCAGGCCATAAAGATGTCACACACTTTCTTCAGCATGTGCAGCAGAGTTCCTCCAGCTTATCCTAAACAGACACAACCCTCCTTCAGAAGGCCAAAACCATTACTTCAGCATAACCACTGCTCAAATGTGCAAATCCCTGATTTCCTACTGAGAGAACTCAGGACACACACTCCAGTGTGCAAAATTTCTGCATGACTGTAAAACACTGAAAGTTCAGAATTCCTTCCTTTAAATGCAGTTCTGCATTGTATAATATTAATATTACCGTATATGTTTTGAAAGACTAAAAAACTGATAATTGCCACACTTGTTAAATTGCCTTACAATGCTGGTCATGACCTTGTTGCTTAGTATGTATGAATAGTCTAATTCAGTGGCACCACAGATCAAATATATTGTATGGTTTTTAGAAAAAAATAATTCTCAGGAATCCTGAGTCCAATCACTAAAAATAATTCAGAAAAGAGTTCGTTTAGTTTACTTTTGTTTGTTTGGTCCTATTTTCTTTTGAAATCCACAATTTTCTGTTTCTTTTTTGAGCTCAGGTCTACTGAGATGGCCAAGATTTCTATTAATTACATTTCTGCAATTGGAGGAAAAAAGTAATGGAAGTCATCAATCAAACATGACATACAAAACACGCTCTGTGAAATGGGAAATATGGACCGTTTCCTTTATTTGCAGATTTAAGCTGATAAAGTCCAGTTTCTTTGTGAAACTGACAGATTTTTTTTTTTTTTTCTGGTTGATAAGTGATAGTCGTACTAAGATGCCTGCTATTGTACCTTAGATTTAGACAAACTAAATATCCATATAGTTACATCATCACCATAACTTTTTTCACAATGACAGTCATAATTTTGGATAAAAAATAACTTCTCTAGCCATTGGATGTCATTATTCATTACAATATGCTTTCAGGCTTATGAATTATGCAATAAAGAAGTAGAAGGACATTTTACCTAATATTGTTGTGTCTAAGTTGATTTTGTGCCTACCAGTGCATGGGTTAAATGGCATCCATTTCTAATAAACATGGTCTGTTTTGTATTTATGTTCAAAAGTGAGCAGAGCCTGACATTTTCATGTCTGAACATTTACCAGAGCAATGTTTTCCATTTTGAAGGGCCCCAAGACTCTCCAGTGTTTAAGATTGCGTTTTGTCTTATTTTATTCGTTTATCTTTTACGTAGATTGCCTCCAACCTCATAGTCGACCAGCTCAGTGGCTGCAAAGTAAGCTGGTGCAAGACTTGTGGGAAAAAGGGCTTCTGAGTGCCTGAAAACAGGATATGTTGGTCCCAGACAAAACATACCAAAGGATTCCACACGATTTGTCTCCGGTGCTCTATGTTATCTCATCCTGATGCATTTGTTGTCTTTACAGCCAGTTTTAATACGAAACAGGGGAGAGCAGAATGTTCTCTCAGTATAAGCAGAAAACATATATTCTCAGCTGCTTGAGAAATGCTTGGTTTTATTTTTGCTTGTTTGACCTAAGAGGAAAGGGGTTTCGCTTTCTGCATGATGGTGTGTTCTCTTTATGTTTGTGGGGTCCAGATGTGGCAAAATGTTAAATATGAAACACGTGAGTGCTTTATTTTTGAACTGCACTTTGAAAATGTGAGCGGATGGTGAGAGGCAATATACCATAGTCTGTGTTAAGGCACAGAGAGTTACTGCTTTCTCTGCCATATCTTCTTTCAAAATTATTTAAGCGAAACTTTACACATTGGGGTAAATGAAAATCTAAACTCATCCCAGCGTCACTCCAGCTGGTTCTGCCTTTAGCGTTCCAAATGCCTATGTGAATCAGTTAACCTTGAAGCAATGCTAGAAATTTCCTGATAAATTATTGTACACATGTTTCAGATTCAGAGCAAACAGCTGTTGATTCCTGAGAACAGAACTTTTGGTTCATGAGATTATTTTTTTTGTCTCATTAGACACATTAAGTCATAATATAACAGTGTTGAAATAATTTGTTAGAATGTGATCACACTTTTACATTTGCCAAGGACCGTTTCCTTTATTTGCAGATTAATTATTTCCCACTGCTACTTGAAACAGTTGTACCAAAATAGATGTTTTGCTTGATCAAATTTTCTACAGTAATGCGAATTAAAAACCCCTCCTGGCTCGAGATTAAAGAACAAAACAAAATGTAGATAAAAAAGCAAATCAGATTTTAACCAGTTTTAGTTTTGCAAACTTGTGGCAATCACAATTTATGCTTGATTAATAAAATGAAATATAGCTTTGAAGACTTAAATTATATCCTATCTCAGACTCTTTTGCTGCATTTTATGACTTTTAGATTTTACTGTCTGAATGATTCCTGAGGCAAATTTACAGAACATGTTTCTGTAGCTTTTTGCGTCTCCAAACAGTGATGGCATAGTTACTTTGAAAAAAAATAACTTTAATTGGATTACTGATTACTCCTTGAAAAAGTAACTTAGATTACTGATTACTTGATTTGGAAAGTAACTAAGTTACATTAAAAGTAACTATTTGAGTAACTTTCAGCAGCTGTTAACAACAGCGCTGCGCCACCTGTGAAAATGACATTGATCTTTGCCAACACTTAATTGCAAGAATATTTTAGAATAAAAAAGTGTGACCCGCGACTCCCCAAAGCTGCTTAAAATAATCGGACTTGACCAGCGAAACGCCAAAATACTTCTTGTTGTTCCAGCAACAAAATGCGCATCTTCCTCTTCCCTCCATTGTTTATGTTTCTGTCGCTGCTGATACTGTCGCATGGAAATGGCGGTTAATCCCCAAGACACGTAGAGGAAATCAAATTTAATTACAAAAGAAAATAGTAACACAATGTAATTTTGATGATCAACTGTGGTCAGACTGCTGGATTTGAAGTAGCAACGCGTTAGATTTCTCATTACTGAAAAAAAGTGGACTGACATCAATAACTTTGCTAAGTAATGCTACTGACATCACTGCCCATGACCTCAGCACTAAATATTGGCACTACACTCTGACCAGCTGAGCTAACCTACCATACATAATGATGAGTTTTCTTCAGTTTTAAGAAAAACTTGCATGATTGTAACAAAAGTGCTCATATTCTAATGTTTTTTTTTTTTCAAATCAATATGCATACTGGTTCGATTTAAAGCCTTCTGCTATTTTGAAGTGTTGATTTTCTGAAAAGACATCATGTTTCAATTGGCCAGTATATATATATATACATATATGTATGTATGTATGTATGTATGTATGCATGTATGTATGTATGTATGTATGTATGTATACATACATATTTTTTGATATAAAGCAAGTTTCTACAAAGTCACACTTATTTCATGTCACTGAAAGTAAAATATTACTGGCAGA